GGGGGGGATCCACAGTTTTTTCATTACTTATTTTTTTCGGCAGAGTGTGTGACTTGGTATGTTTCAGGAGACGTGCCATGCAAAAAACTGTGGAGTCCCCCTGAACGCCACCAACCATTATTAACTTATCCTTAATAAGGGTATAGTATGGATTTAGAAGAGAATCCCAGGCAAAAAAATAGTAATATAATAGTAGATAGAAAAAAACTGCGCTAGGAATCAAATAACACTCTAAGAGCAGCTGTGCTTAATAGGTGAGTACACCCAAAATAGGGAAAGAGAAAGAAAATAGCACTGCGGTTCACAAACTAAAAAAATTATATTCCTAAAATGTGAAAAAAATAGTGTGAAATTGTCACAAAGTGATAAACAATTTTGTGTTATACACAACACCTGTGTTGCACAATGCCTGTGCTGATGATGGTAAGAAAAAGCTCTAGGTCTAATGGTCTAGACCACTGGTTCTCAACCTGTGTAACCTCAGGACCCACATTTGTCCTTGGTCATTAAGTCGTGATCCAAGTCGCACTGCAATGGAACGCACGGCATTGCGGGCAATAGAACTGTGGGTGGGAGGTGCATTTGGGGTGCCATTCAAATGAATGGCAATGCAATGCACTTTTAACAACAAAACGCGTGGTAGGTGCGATTGCGAAGTACTGTGCATTACGGGACTGTGCAGTACGGGACTGTGCAATTAGCGCCCTCAAAAACAGACAACCACAGACACAATCTCACACAAACATACACACTACAAAAAAATAAAATGTTTTTCTTTTTTTTAAGATCAACCCAGTCTCCCTTCCTTATGAGAACTAGAGTGGATCCCCAGCCTGGGGTCCGGTGTGCGCTGCTGTACTGCGATGGAGCTCCATCCATATGTGCAGTGCTTGTACAGCTCCCTTGCGCACCCTGTAGAGGTGCTGAGAGCCAGTATGTTACATCACACCAGTCCAGGCATCTCTACAGGTCATGCGAGGGAGCTGTAAGCAATGCACATGTGCATGGAGCACACCCTACCTCAAGCTGACACTTGGCACTGGGCAGCATATTTTGAATGCTTGCTTGGCGCAAGAACTGACATTGCTGCACTAGGGGGAGGCTGAGGAGAAAAGTGGAAGGCACACGGGGACCCACTGAACACAGGGTCGCGACCCACTTTTGGGTCACGACCCACCAGTTGAGATCCAAGGGTCTAGACACTATAATCCATAATAAACATAGGGAAAAAAAAGGATGTGCTAGTACATCTCATAAAATGTGTACATATAGAAAATCCAATGTTAAATCTCACAAGTGATGTACAACTCCCTCTTAATCTACATAACCACATGTGAAGTCCAACTTTTTTCAAAAAAATATAATAGGATGCCCCCTCTGAAATCCAATCCAGACCCTTATCTAGGCTGTCAAGAAAAGAGAGGGGCAGTGAATGTGTTGCCACCCTCCCTAAACCATACCTCAGCATGGGGGAATACCTTTCCAGGGGGGACCCAGGGGGGCTCCTGGAGGTTGTGGTGCCATATATCATGAGAAACAAATTGACCTACATTCCTAGATGATGTGACTGATGTTTGCTTTACATTGTAGGATATGTTTTTGGTGTACATTATAGCACACATGTGCCCTTCTCTAGCAATGTGCAATAAATCCTCTGTTACCTACTTCCACCGTCACTTCCAGGTTTCCAGGCATCTTCTTCTGCCATTGGGCATTCACTGACAATGTAACTCCCGCGCATGTGCACAGAAAGGAAATACAGTAAACTCTCAGTTATCCGGTATTCAACTAACCCGAACTCTCATCTAAGCATTTAAAAAAATCCCCTGCATGCTCACTGTCCTGCTGATTTGTGACATGTATTATCCTGGAAACAATTGTGTGCCCATGTGTCTTAATTTGCTTTCGATTACTGCATTTCAATATAAATATGACGTCAATACAGAGTTTATGGTATGGTATAGTATAGGGTATAGTATGGGGTTTAGTATGGGGTATAGTAAGGGGTATAGTATGGGGTATAGTATGGGGTTTAGTATGGGGTATAGTATGGGGCATATTATTGGGTATAGTATGGAGTATAGTCTGGGGGGGTGTAGTATGGGGTATAGTATGGGGTATAGTATGGGATATAGTATGGGGTGTAGTATGGGGTGTAGTATGGGGTATAGTATGGGGTGTAGTATTGGGTATAGTATGGAGTATAGTATGGGGTGTAGTATGGGGTATAGTATGGAGTATAGTATGGTGTATAGTATGGGATGTAGTATGGGATATAGTATGGGGTGTAGTATGGGGTATAGTATGGGGTGTAGTATGGGGTATAGTATGGGGTATAGTATGGGGTGTAGTATGGTGTGCAGTATGGGGTGTAGTATGGTGTGCAGTATGGGTTATGGTATGGGGGTATAGGATGAGGTGTTGTATGGGGGTATAGTATGGGGTATAGTATGGGGTATAGTATGGGGGATAGTATGGGGTATAGTATTGGGTGTAGTATGGGTTATAGTATGGGATGTAGTATGGGGTATAGTATGGGTTATAGTATGGGGTGTAGTATGGGGTGTAGTATGGGGGTATAGGATGTGGTGTTGTATGGGGGTATAGTATGGGATTTTGTATGGGGGATAGTATGGGGTATAGTATTGGGTGTAGTATGTGGGTATAGTATGGGGTGTAGTATGGGGTATAGTATGGGGTATAGTATGGGGTATAGTACGGGGTATAGTACGGGGTGTAGTATGGGGTGTAGTATGGGGTGTAGTATGGGGTGTAGTATGGGGTATAGTATGAGGTATAGTATGAGGTATAGTATGGGGTATAGTATGGGATGTAGTATGGGGTACAGTATGGGGTACAGTATGGGGTATAGTATGAGGTGTAGTATGGGGTGTAGTATCGGGTGTAGTATGGGGGTATAGTATGGGGTTATAGTATGAGGGATAGTATGGGGTATAGTATAGGGTGTAGTATGGGGCATGTCATTAGTTAGACCTATTTTTAATAGTAACTCACAAGCAACCAGAAACAACATTTATCCGGATCCTACTGATCCCCATGGATGCCGAATAACGGGGAGTTCCCTGTACATCCTCCCTGGCATCAGGTCAATTTCCATTAATTAGCCAAGAGTTTCCTGCTGCATGGTGCATGTGCCGTACAATGTACACATACAATAAAAAATCCCCATAGGGAAGAAGAAGATTCATTTTTCAGTAGAAGTGTCTTTTCTGCCAAAAATCTCTACCTTCTAGCAACTTTAAAACATTTTTTTTTTTTTAACTTCCACTTTAACATCTCCAGGCTATAAGCCCTGAAAACCAACCTACTATGGGAGAGATATTTTCAAAATACAGAATCAACTGACAAGAGGCTGAAGTTGCACTGGGAAGCAGTATATAGAGCATAATGGATCTGGCTGAAATGGATCCCATGAAATCCAGATGAATTGTCTTCTTTAATTTAGCCAATCATCAAAGGTTCCTTCGCAGCTAAGCAGTTGACACAAAGTATAGCCCCTTGCCTACTGGAAATGCCATCTAAATCAGAGCTACTTTGTGAAAGTATCCAAAGATTCGTTTTATTGGAAATATTCAAATGATATAATCAGCATATAAAAAGAAAAATGCAATATACAGTATAACATGGTAATGATGACCAACAACTTTTTTACTATGAGGAAAGATAACGTAGATAGGATATTGTTTTACATCCCACTTAATGGTTAATTAGACCCTATGGGATCATAAACATGACACAAAGCCCAACGGGAGGTAGAATTCGCTATATAACATTTGACAAGTACCCTTTAGTAAGTGCTTGTTGTTTTATTACAGTGATAACATGAATCTGGACAGCACTTTTATACAGGAGAATTTTGATATGTTTATAAATGACAAATACTGCCTACTGTAAATCATTAAATTGATGGGATTTAAGGTAAGCCGACTGGTAATAAACTATTAGGTGCAGTTAAAAAATTATCTCAACCACAGGGCCATGCTTCGCATCAAAATGAAGGTAAACCCCAAATCGTTTTTTTTTTTTGCAGTATAGTTGGCATCATGCATAAATATATACAATTTCCTTACGCAAATTTTTTGCTGAATCTGTTGCAAGGTTTAGGGATGCACAGATACTTTTCGAGTACCAGTGCCGATACTTGCCATTTTTACGAGAACTACAAGGGTGGCAGCTGTTGCCGCTGGGACCTGGCTCTGGTGCTCCACCACTGTCCTGAAATCATTAGTCTGTATTGTTTTAGAAAAACTGTCACATGACAATAAACAAAAATGTATCAGTACTCGTACTCGCAAAACTGGTATCTGTGCATCCCTTTATTTATATTTATAAAAACAAAATCATACATTAGAGATGTACAAATCCCGGGAGCTCCGTGTCCTCCTTACACATGACAGCCGCCTCCTAACTTTTTGAATTTTTATCTAGTGTAGTCTTGGAGCTCAAAAGTATCGGTACATGTACTTGTACTTGTATCGAGTACTGTACTTGGTATCTGTGCAACCCTATATATCACTAAGAAATTCTGCCAGTGAAAGCAATTCCTGCTGCAGGATGACAACGCTAAGACACTGCCTAGCAATTAGCTGCAGTATTGTCAGCCTGCGGTACGAACAACTTCAGTTGGTCCTTGGGCTGCCTATCAGGTCTGGCCCAATGGGCAGCCAAAGGAGCTGAAGTAAATTACATTTCTGTTCTTAGTTTTAGAAATACTTAAAGATCTTGTTTAGTCAATTATTATGTTGTGTGACAGCCCAGCTGATTGGATATCAATAGAACAAATTATTTTGGTGTGCAAAAAACATTTACATATTTATACATCTAATATTTCTAATTATTATATTCATTATTTTATTACTTTCATTTATTCTCACTAGTTGAATATTATAAGTATTCAACTAGTGAGAATAAATGAAAGTAATAAAATAATTATTACGGCCATGTTATAGATCATATAACATGAGTGTCTGTGTGCACCCATGGCTCCGCCGCGTGATGTCTGTGAGGGGCGGGATTCTGATCCATCGGAGATAGGTTTGCAGATGATTCCTGGACCTTGGGTAAGAGGAGGGACAAAAATCCTGTGAGCGTATTACAGCATATAAAATACTAAAGAATGAGCGTTGCATATATATCGATTTATTTACAACTATCATGAAATGAATAAGTCATGTGCATGGCCGGCATGACATCACCCCCGGCATGTCATAATTAAAGTGACACTAAACTCAGAAGTTAAACATTAAAAATACATTCAAGTCCCTTATCTATGAACAACAATGTATCTTATTTGTGTATCACTCGACTGTAGATCCTCCAATCATCTCTGAATTGGTGCTGACACTGTCCTTCCTTCTGGAGGGGGGGCTACTTTTGCTCCCCATGGTCCCTGTGTGTGTTTTAAAGTAGTCACCGCTGCAAGCTCGCTCCCGGGATGGACTACAATCGCAATGCAAATCAGTAAACTAAACATGAGATTGTAGTGCATCCCGGGAGCGAGCTTGGAGTGGGGGCTTCTTTACAACACACGCAGGGACCATGGGGAACACAAGTAGCCCCCCTCCAGAAGGAAGGACAGTGTCAGCACCAATTCAGAGATGATTGGAGGATCTACAGTCGAGTGATACACAAATAAGATACATTTTTGGTAATAGTTAAGGAACTTGAATGTATTTTTAAGATTTCACTCCTGAGTTTAGTGTCACTTTATGGATGCATTAAAAATCACAGAACTCCCACCTTACCCACTCTTCTTGCTATTCCTCTTCCTCCGCTCCTTTTTTCTCTGTCTTTCCTTCTCCACCCTCCTTTTCATGCAAAGTACCTGACACTGTTTATATGTAATTATAATCTATGTACAGTATACCTACGTTGTTATTTATCCATCCTTGTAACATTGTTATTCCATCTTCTTGTTCATCAATGTTCACTGATGCATAACCTTCTACTATGTATGACAATGTACGCTCATGTTTTATACATACTTTGAGCCCTGTTCTATACTCAACTGCGTTGTTGAGTGCTTTGTAATGCTTTAAACTTTAATAAAGACATATTGTTTTTCATTTTTTTTTTTAAGAGCTGCATTAATTTGTGTCTTTTACGTCTACCTAGAGGTTAGCTTTGATGAAAGCTGCGGGGATAAAATAGACAACTTTTGAAATTACATTGACACATTAAAGGAGAACTATGAGGTGGGTGCTTTTCACTCACCTCATAGTTCTAGCCGACCTGTGACAATGAGACTGTCACACGTCGGCTCAGTAGATCGGGAGGTGAGCGAACACATACAGGCGCTCGCTCACTTCTCGATCCTGTCACGGCTCTCTGCCATGACAGGGGAGGGGCTGGATTCCCTCCTCCCTGCTCCGATCCGCCAGCGCTGACTGGCAGAACGGATGGGGAGGGGGCGGGTACAGCTGGCTCTGCCTCTAGATAGGCAGAGCAAGCTGTCAGTCACGCAGCTGTATACTGAGCCTAGGGTGACGTGAGGACGCTAGTTTGTGTCCTCCCGTTACCCTAAGGAGAACTACGGGGAAAAGCCCTGACCCCATAGTTCTCCTTTAAAGCTTATTAGAGATTTTAGAGATTTGCTTTAGATCTACTGTAAGTAAATTGAGAAACATTTTTGTTATACCTCCATATCAACTAGAAATGTAGAGTTACTAAGTATTTGTTTTGTTTAATAGTGAATGTGAACTGAAGCACTCCTGATCCCCGTTCATTTCCACAGACCACTCAAATCTGCTGACAGTCTACGATGAGTTCCTGCAACCAAACGAGAATCACTGAGTTCGTTCTGCTCGGGATACAAGGTTCTATGGGTCTGAAGTATTCACTTTTTGCTCTACTTTCTGTCACCTACATTTTCACCATAGCTGGGAACGTCCTCATCATTGTGCTGGTTCTGAGAAGTGACAAGCTTCACACTCCGATGTATTTCTTTTTGTGCCATTTATCCTTTTCTGACATCTTATTGTCTACAAACGTGGCCCCATACCTATTGTGTATGTTAATAGGTAAATGTAAATCTATCTTGGTGAGCTCTTGCCTTACACAGTATTTTTTTGGTTCCTCTTCAGCCGTTTCTGAATGTTTCCTCCTTACGGCCATGTCTTACGATCGATACTTGGCCATCTGTAGCCCATTGCACTATAAGACCATTATGCACATGAAGTTCTGCATCCACCTCGTTGTTTGGTCTTGGTCACTTGTGTGTCTCCTCAATCTGTCTTCTGTTATTCTGATGTCTCGCATGGAGTTCTGTGGTTGTAACATCATTGATGACCTTTACTGTGATCATGCTCCTCTCCTCAACGCTTCTTGCTCAGATACCTCCATCATAGAACTGGAAACCATTATATTTTCCATACCCATTGTGCTGTTTCCCTTCTTGTTTGTCATCATGACTTACATTAGAATCTTCATTGCTATCCTGAAGATTTCCACCATCTCCGGAAGAAGGAAAGCCTTCTCTACTTGCAGTTCCCACATGATAGTTGTCGCAATATACTATGGAACCTTGATTGCGAAATACACAGCACCTCCTTCGGGAAGTTCATTGAATGTCAACAAAGTTATCTCCCTCTTATATACCGTGTTTACACCGCTACTAAATCCTGCTGTATATAGCCTACGGAACCGTGAAATAAAAGAAGCTATGCAGAAATGGGTACATGTTAATTAAAATTATAAGAGGAAAAAGATAATAGTTTTAGGTCAATGTACTTATTTTTAATAGACCCTGTAATCGCTTCTGACTTTTCAATCTGAGCATAACTGCACAAAATGAAAAATAATACTCACCACTCTTGAATAAAAACCTAATGTATAATGTAATGTATAGTATGCATTACAGGCACCAGTGTATGCATCCAAATCTGACACTTCCAGGAGTGTCAAATCATTTAGTCCCCCCACCGCTCACTCTTGCTTCCTTGCCTTAATGCCACATCATCTTTCCCTACAGCTCCCTGTAAGGCCTTTTAGCGCAGAAGCTTTGTTATTCCATTACAGTGGATTGGTTAATCAGTATTGAGCAGTATGTACAGGCCAGTCCCTACTATGCAACCTTTGCAGATCATGTTACTAGGACACTAGTGAAAGCACTGACTTCTGCATGTAGGTAATGTGACAGGACCTTGCTTGAGTGACAGCTCAGCTTATTTTGAGGACATTATTTTGAGGATATTACACCCAAGATGGAGGCACCCAGCAGTGGACAAAACACATATCCATCAGCCTGAATGAACACCCTATTCAGGGGCGTAACTAGAAATCACAGGGCCCCATAGCAAAATTTTGTATGGGGCCCTGCGATTTCTAGTTATACCCCTTGCAGAGCCCACTCGAGATCCCACCTGAGGGTGAACTTGCAGAGCCCACCATAGACTTTCTATGGTGGGCTATGCAGGGTCACCCTCAGATGGTCTGGTCGCACTCCTTACCTGTCCGCCTCCTCTTCCTCCTTGGTCGCTGATGGGCCCCGCCTCCTCTGTCGTCGGGCCTGCCTCCTTATTTGTCACTGGGCCCTGCCTCCTCCCCTGCTGCCGACCACGGGACCCGCTTCCTCCTCCACTGCCGCTGCTGGCTCTCATTGACTCTATGCAGGGTCACCCTCAGGTGGGCTGGTCACACTCCTTACCTGTCCGCCTCCTCTTCCTCCTTGGTCGCTGATGGGCCCCGCCTCCTCTGTCGTCGGGCCTGCCTCCTTATTTGTCACTGGGCCCTGCCTCCTCCCCTGCTGCCGACCACGGGACCCGCTTCCTCCTCCACTGCAGCTGCTGGCTCTCATTGACTCTGTGGAGAGGAACGCGCTGCTGCACAGATTACTGTCAGTGATATTAATAGCGGCGTGTTCGTCTTCAGCCGCCAGTGAATGCCACCAGCAGAGGATCCCATAACGACCCTGGCGGCCCGCACGGCATCTGGCCGGGACCCACTGTGCCCCGGGCCCCATATCGGCCGCCTGGGTCGCTATGGTGATTGTTACGCCACTGACCTCATTCCAGTATAAAACAACTAGAAATGAAGGTTAGTGAATTTTGGAGATACTCATGCATATTAAAAGAGGAAGGCCCGGTATGTTGCACTTGGTGAATCTAGCAAGCATAAAGAAAACAGGTCCAAAAAGCCAAATGCTGGTATCAATTTAAAAAAAGCCCATTGGGGTGTACAGAGAAGTAGCAGTTATGATCTCCAGCAAGAAAGTGAGTGAAAACAAGTAAAAAGTAAATAGGGGAAGGAAAATATATCATATTGGAGCAGATTGGAAAAAGGGTCTTAGATATCTAGAACAACCAAATGGCAGAATCACTCAAGAGGAGATCAAATCCACAATATCACATCTAGCAAATAGGAAGGCCACTAGACCTGGTGGTTCCTCATCTGATTTTTTTTTTAAATGGCTAAAAATGAAATATTAGACACTGTAGAGACCCTTTATAATACCATCTTGGAGTTTGGAATATATCACAGTCCCTGGATGCGGGATAGATGTTCAAGACGCCATGTGGTCATATTACATGTGGACTGCTGCCTACAACGTTTTTGTATGGATGTTTCTCCTGCGCGCCTTACAGCGTCTGGAACCAGTAGTCAATGTTGCGCTCACAGTGATGAACACGGATGGCGCCGTGTAACTTCAAGTTAAAGAAGTGGAAAATCACCAGCACTCGGTAACTGTCATTTTTTAGATCTTCGTGATCATTTATTGATGTCACATGTATCACAAAAGCCAACGTTTTGGGGCCACACAGGGTCCCTTCATCAGGGCGACATAGTCCTTATGTCGGATGAAGGGGCCCTGAAACATTGGCTTTTGTGATACATGTGACATCAATAATTGATCACGAAGATCTAAAAACGACAGTTACCGAGTGCTGGTGATTTTACACTTTTCTGACTGCTGCTAACAAATGCGGCCAATGTCACCTGGTCATTGACTTGAACCGGTACAGCAGCCACATCTAATAAGGACATCTGTCACAGGGATCCCGAATTACCCAGTGTGAAAGAAGCCTTATGATGGTTAAACATTATTTAAAACAGTAATTAAAATAATTTGATGACATAGTTATTAGGGATGTGCCGATTTCGGTATCGAGTACGAGTACCAATTTTATTATTTCGGCACTCGCCGATACTTAGTAACCATACCCGTACTTTCACTCACATGGAGCCGACTTCCTGGTCAATCCATGGCTGGCTCCTCTCCTTGACGTGGTCTTGTTCAGACACCTACGCCTTAAAAATAGAATCTATTGCATTCTCCATACCCATTATACTTCTCCCCTTTGTGTTTGTGATGGTGACTTATGTTACAATCTTCTTCACAATCCTGAAGATTTCAAACAACTCTGGAAAGGAAAGGAAAACCTTCTCCACCTTCAGTTCCCACATCATAGTAGTTACAATATACTATGGAACATTAATGGCGAAATACACGGCACCTCCTTCAGGAAGTATACAGTGTTTCCACCGCTACTGAATCCTGCTGTATATAGTCTACGGAACCAAGAGAAGCTATCAATAAAGTTATATAATACAATGATCTAATTTTTTGGGTTTGGAGCATGTACAGGAGGATCTTACAGGTGGTGATCGGGACAACAAGTTGTTACAAAAAAGAATCCAGGTGGATTTACAAGCTTAAGGCGACCGTTTCCCCTGGTTTAAATGAAATGGTGAGCTATAAGCCCTTTCTACCATGATCTAGAATCAATTTGAATGGAGACCGCCTTATAAGAGATTATTATTGTTATTATTATTATTATTATTATTATTATACAGAATTTATAGAGCGCCAACAATTTGCGCAGCGCTTTACAATATAAGGAAGACATTACAATCACAATACAATTCAAGACAAGATGGTAAGGAGGGCCCTGCCCCTGAGGGCTTACAATCTAAAATGGAGGGGCCAGTGATACATGAGGAGGTAGCTGTGTTGGGATGAATTGTTCGAGAACTTGATGGTTCGGTGGTTAGGTTGAGGTGGGATAGGCTTCCCTGAAGAGATGAGTCTTAAGGGATCACCTAAAGGCAGTCAGAGTGGGAGACAGACGGACAGGTTGGGGTAAAGAGTTCCAGAGGATGGGAGAGACTCTAGTGAAGTCCTGGAGGTGAGCATGGGAGGAGTTGACGAGGGAGCCTGAAAGAAGAAGGTCTTTTGAAGAGCGGAAGGGACAGTTAGGCAAGGTTTGAGATATAGCCGGGGGCAGAGTTGTGGACGGCTTTGTAAGTCATTGTTAATATTTTGTATTTTATCCTTTGGGCTATTGGAAGCCAGAGCAGGGATCGGCAGAGGGGGTTGCAGACACTGAGCAGTTGGTTAGGTGAATGAGTCTAGCAGCAGCATCATTCATGAAAGACTGAAGGGGGGACAGCCTGTGTAGAGGTAAGCCAATGAGGAAGGAGTTGCAATATGTATGTATGCAATAGAGTATGTCTTGCTTACTCAAATGGACAATCAGCTGGCCATTAGCTATAGATGGTTTATATACATTGAGTGGCCAGTTTATATTGACCACCTGACATTTGTCAGGTGGTAGAGGGCCAGAGGGCCAGTCCAATCCTCTAGCGCTGACTGGTGGAATGGACGGGGAGGGGGCTTGTAAAGCTGGCTCTGCCTCTAGATAGGCAGAACCAGCTGTCACTCACGCAGCTGGGTGGATCCAGACATAATTGTCGGAATCCATTCTGGCTGCAGTGTCTCAGTATACCGCGAGCTACAGATTGCGGTATACTGAGCTTTGGGTGACGGGAGGACGCTAGTTTGTGTCCTCCCATTACCCTTAGGAGAACTATGGGAAAAAGCCTTAACCCCATAGTTCTCCTTTAAGCTAGACACATTACAACCCCCTGTCATATCCCTGTACACCCAAGAAGTGTTTTGTCTTTACATAGTTAAGCATACAGTATATAAAATAAATATATTGATTTTATCAGTAACATATGTAATGGATGATTGGTAGTCCTCTGTGATCCAGGTGTAAATCATTTTTTTCAGTCAGCTCCTAAGTCACAAATTCCCTCACGGTGTTGATGGCCCTCTCTAAACGATAGGTACAACAGGGCAGCCTACTAACTCAAGCACATATTGCACCACCACTATCCAGAGGTACATCCTTGAAGCCCAGTAGTTCATGGATATGATCACTTTCATTTCATTTTCAACCTTGACATCCCTGCTTGTGTTTGCTTGACCGAGGCAGGGACGGCCTTAGAACACAAAAGAATAAAAATGAACAAATAAAATAAATGGAAAAATCTATAAAAATTGTAAATCTGTAAATAAAGGTAAAAAATAGAGATGGTGGGTTGGACCATGTTAATGTGGGACATGCCCAGGCCATGAGCTAGGGGAAGGGGGCTGTTTTTGCAAGCTGTTATGGAAGAAGTTGAAGTGCAAAACTGCCATACAGTCATCTGCTGCAGAAATAAACTTGGCATTAGAAGGTTTTTACTGGAGATGGGGTGGAAGTTGGTAAATGCTGCTTGGAGTTTTAAGACTTCACTCTGGGGAAGGCATTAGCAACCTATAGCTGTAGGATTGTATTCTTCATTTGTGCTGCTGCCTGCCCCTGCCTTCTTACCCATGGGGAGAGAATCACAGGAAAAGGCTTATGAGGACTAGTGATGAGCCGAACACCCCCGTGTTCGGTTCTAACTCGAACAGGATTAACTGGGGTTGAAATGAGTCTACCATAAAATGTGGCCACACTCCTAAAAAAATCCCCTTTTCATCTGCAATTATTTTTACCCAGTTGGGATTGCTGTCCCTGCCCATGTTTGCTTCATCAGGGCAGAGATAGCTTGATGGGGTAAAAAAAAAACAACTAAATAATTTTTAACCAAAATTAAAAATGCATAGAAAAATTGTGATCTATCTAGAGGCAGCGCAAGCTCCCCCACTCGTTCCTCCACTCTGCGCTGGAGTATCAGAGAGAGGAGGGGTAGAATCCCTACGGGGAGCGGTGACTGACAGGCACTGCTCACTGCAGGGAGACGATCGAGAAGTGAGCAAATCGGCTGCATGTTTCTGCTCACTTCCCGATCGATAGAGCCAGCCTGTGACAGCTTCTTTGTCAAAGGTCGGCTCTAACTATGAGGATGAGTGGTAATCACTCACCTCATAGATCTCCTTTAAAGTCACGTTTGTTTCCCCATTCTGTTTTTGCTTTTAATAAAAGCACAAAGAGCTTTGACAAAGTGGGGCTCAGATGAAGGGACTTGGGGGAATATTATAGCATAGCTCATTTTTGCAGCTCTAGATGGCAGTTGATGCTCACTGTCATCTGGAACTTTACTATACGGCTATTGCCACTGTAGTAAAGTCAGCCAAGTTCCCAAGCAGTCTTATCATCCCTGTCCAGTTCTGCCCTGCTGGACTACACAACTGGGTAAGAACAAGCATTCAGATTGGGAGTTATCAGGAGTCATTTGACTCATGAACTAGACTTATGTTGTGAGAAGGATCGGTAAAGCACAACTATTGTATAGCACTGCAAAGCAGGAGCAAAGTCTGTGCCTGTGATGTGTAAATCTGGCTGCACCATGTACATATATACTTACAATCTTCACAAAGAAACAAGGTTCATAAACCATGAACACACACTAATAGTCAATACATTTATTTAATCAAGTTGATTTCTTGAGAAAAAAAAAAGGAAAAATAGCAAAATAATAGCAATTAAAAATAATTGAATTCCCTTTAATGTTTAATTGACACCATGGGAATAGTTACATGGAAAAGCTCATTAGCAGTCAATAGACTGCTATATAAGTCACGCAAACACTGATTTATTGTTGCTGCCTGGTAAGATGGGTCAGATAAAAGGTATGTATTCTAAGTACAACAATGTCAATATACTCCTTGACCTAAATTTGGGTTTACTGTGTAAGAGGACATGTTCCCTACTATAAAAAATGGACTTGGAGGGCACAAAGGTAAGAAGGCCTGGTAAAAATATACCTCAACCATCAGGGTCATATTAAGACAACATGCTGTCCCAGAATAAGCACATTGATGACTTTTTTGTACTAATGTCATTGAGAGCTCTATGAGTTTCTTCTCCTACATGTCAATCCTCAACTAGCCTACCATGGGCTCTCTTACTAAACAGTGTTTACCTAGTATGTGAATACAGGTCAACATGCACTTAGATGTCCATGCAGCTGTTGCAGAAGGTTCTTCTCCTCTTAGCAGGTTCCTGGCTGTAGATGTCTCTTCACTATGAGGATACCAATATCTCGAAGCTTGCCTACCATGGGCTCACTTACTAAACAGTGTTTACCTAGTATGTGAATGCAGGTCAACATGCACTCAGATGTCCATGTAGCTGTTGTAGAAGGTTCTTCTCCTCTTAGCAGGTTCCTGGCTGTAGATGTATCTTCACTATGAGGATACCAATATCTCGAAGCTTGCACTAGTGAAATCAACCCTCTAATGCCACTAGACATGTGCAATTCGTTTTGTTACGAATCGAAATTCGTACAAATTTTCCTGAAATTCGTACATTCGGAAGCATACGAAATCCGAATGGCAGTTTACGAATTATATCCGAAATACGAAATTCCGTTAACGAATTTCGGATCCGAATTTCTTTGAAACAGGAACTAACATTACCCCTGTAAATGAGGTTGAACAACATGACAAGATTTTTTTTTAATTCCGAAATACGGATCCGCTGCTGCTGAGGGTTGCATTACAATACACAGGCAGGAAATACGAAATTCCGTTGACGGAATTTCGCTCCGTTACGAACATTCGTTATATTGAAGTTCAAAAGCAAAGCACATTTATATTGGAGTTGATGGTAGTTTTTTTTAAAGTCCGAATTACGAAATTTAGATACGGAATCCGTTAACGGAATTCGTTTTTCTTTTTGGTTGACCAATCAGAGGTTTTCTCTCCTGCTGCTGAGAGTTGCATTACAATACAGGCAGGAAATCCGAAATTCCGTTGGCGTATTTTCGTTCCGTTACGAACATTCGTTATATTGAAGTTAAAAAGCAAAGTACATTTATATTGGAGTTGATGGTAGTTTTGGAGTTGAAGTCCGAAATACGAAATTCGGATACGGAATCCGTTAACAGGATTCGTATTTCGGATAAAAAAACAACTACCACATCGACTCCAATATTAACAAAGGTATTTTTGCTTTTTAACTTCATCATAACGAATGTTCGTAAAGTTAAGAAAATATAACCGCCACTAACGAAAATTCGTATTTCGTACGAATGCGAAATGAGTTTCGGATATGAATTAAGAAATACGAAATAATGGATATTACGAAACGGAACGAAACGGAACAAATATTTTGACGGCGCACAAGTCTAAATGCCACTGCTTGCATATCACATGTTCACTTCTAGTCAATGTTATAGAGAGAAATATAAAAAACACCACACAGTCCCCTCATGCAAATGGTCCTTTATAATTTTTTAAGCATAAAGTCGATAAAAACATGTAACACTGTATTAACATGACACCACTTTATTACTCTACTCATTTCATCCTAGGTGGACTTCTTCAGGTGCTCATAAAGAAGCAGTGGGATAAGCATACATAAAGATTTGGAAACAGCAGACTGGGGAGACAACCGGAATGAAGAACAAACCAGCTGGAACATTGGTATCCATATAACGGAGACACATCCACAGCCAGGGATCTTCTGAGAGGAAGAACATTTGCTGGAAGAGCCGAGTGAATATCTGCATTCTCATTACAAGCTAACACTGGCTGGTAAGAACGCCCACTGTAAAATAGCTGAGGATTAATATATAAAAGGAGCAATATGTACTGCTATCCTCTGTTTTGATGCAAGAGTTATTAAAGACCTTTAAAAGTGCATTCCATTGTTCCATTGGCCATTAAAATCTGTTCAATCTGCTATGATGATTTCCTGCAACCAGACAAGAATCACTGAGTTCATTCTAGTGGGCATTCAAGGTTCTGTCGGTCTGAATTATTCACTTTTTGTTTTGTTTTCTGTGATCTACATTTTCACAATAGCTGGGAACGCCTTCATAATTGTGCTGATTTGGGGCTGTGAAAAGCTCCACACTCCGATGTATTTCTTTTTGTGTCATTTATCCCTTTCTGACATCTTATTGTCTACACATGTGGTTCCATACTTGTTGTGTACCTTATTAAGTACAGGCAAAACAATGCTGGTCAGTGCTTGTGTCACACAGTACTATTTCGGTTGCTCCTCAACAATTTCTGAATGTTTCCTCTTGACGGTGATGTCTTACGACCGATACTTGGCCATCTGCGTTCCATTACACTATATCACAATAATGTATATTAAGGTTTGTTTCCATCTTGTTGCTTGGTCTTGGTCACTTGGCTTTCTTCTCAGCCTGATCTCTATAATTCCAGTGTCTCTCATGGAGTTCTGTGGTTGCAACATCATTGACCACATCTACTGTGACCTTGCTCCTCTCCTTGATGTCTCTTGTGTGGACACCTACGTCTTGGAATTAGAAACTATTGTATTTTCCATACCCATTGTGCTTCTTCCCTTTATGTTTGTGATGGTGACTTATGTCAGAATCTTCTTCACAATTTTGAAAATTTCCACCAATTCTGGAAGAAGAAAAGCCTTCTCCACTTGTATTTCCCACATCATAGTAGTTACAATATACTATGGAACATTAATTGCGAAATACACGGCACCACCTTCGGGAAGTTCACTAAATGTCAACAAAATTATCTCCCTCTTATATACCGTGTTCACACCGCTACTGAATCCTGCTGTATATAGTCTACGGAACCAGGAGATAAGAGAAGCTGTGCATAAATGGGTACATGTGAAATGGATACACGCATTAGAGTTAGAGGAAATGGGATGATGTCATGTGGAAAATCATATTCTGCATTTTCAATGTTAAGCTAAAAATGCAACATTAACTAGTCTGGTCCCGAGACTTGTCATACACAGTCATCATCATCATTACTCAGGTAGAGCAATCTTCTCTGTGGTCTACCACCATTTCACAATGACTCTTGTTTAATTATTTAAGTTCTCATTTAGCTGATGTTGTTTAATTTGATATGTGCTGATGTTAAGGGCAACACTGCAGACAAATGAAAAATGACACAATAAAATATACACCGGTGAGCAGCTAAAATAGTTCTACACTTCATCCATGTGTTCCCCAATTTTGTCATTTTATTGAATGCTCTGATTGTATTTCTGCTCATCGCCTCTCCTGAGACCTTCCTCTTCAAGTTATCTGCTCAAACCATGCATTGCTCAGCACTTCATAACACCCCTATTAGCCTTGTACGCTGTCAGTCAGGAGGCAGGGGTATGCTTTTGACACTCCTGCGCCATTCAGATGTTCAGGAAAATGTTTTAGCACAACTGCAATGGGAGCTTTATCGTGTCAAAGGATTACTGGCCTTACTTGTATTTGTTTCCTAGATAAAATATCTTAATGTTACTTATTTAAAGGAGAACTATGAGGTGAGTGCTTTTCACCCACCTCATAGTTCTAGACGACCTGTGACAATGAGACTGTCACAGGTCGGCTCAGTAGATCGGGAGGTGAGCGAACACATACCGGCGTTCGCTCACCTCTCGATCCTGTCACGGCTCTCTGTGCCGTGACAGGGGAGGGGCTGGATTCCCCCCTCCCCGCTCCGATCCGCCAGCGCTGACTGGCGGAACGGACGGGGGAGGGGGCGGGCACAGCTGGTTCTGCCTCTAGATAGGCAGAGCCAGCTGTCACTCACGCAGTTGGGCGGATCTCGACATCGCTGTCGGGATCCGCTCCGGCTGCGGCGTCTCAGTATATTGAGCTTGGGGTAACGGGAGGACGCTAGTTTGTGTCTTCCCGTTACCCTAAGGAGAACTATGGGGAAAAGCCCTGACCCCATAGTTCTCTTTTAACCACAACTTTACAAAAAAAAATCTAAAAGGAAAACCTTCTTTCTTTGGCTGATGTCCCCTTCACATCCTAAGGATAGATACACCTGTTAACCATATAACCATGTTATATCACACACTGAAAGAACAATCAATTAGTCTTAAATATCGCCGCGTTCATTTCTGCTGTGCTGGGTGAGAGCCTCCTCAGCCTCCTCCTTGCACAGCAGTGTCAGTCAGCGGGAGGACAGCAACGGCTGTGAATATAAAAGTGGCACTGTACACACTGTCTGGCCACTGCAGCGACATCTAGTAGCCGGGGAGTGTTTAGAGCAGGACTTTCCTATTCACAACCATTGCTGTCCTCCTGCCTCCCATACAGTGCAGGCTCTGCAGGAGGCGGGCATCTTAGCAGTGCTGGGACTGAGAGGGCTGCAGGCAAGCAGATAGCAGGGGCTGCGGAGGGCTTGCATTCTTGTGAGTGTGCTTCTTTTTTTTAAGTCCAGTGTGTTGCTATGTCCTGAGTCCAGTGTGTTGCTTTGTCCTGAGTCTAGTGCCTTAATAAGTCCTGAGTCCAGTGCCTTACTAAGTCCTGAGTCCAGTGCCTTACTAAGTCCTGAGTCCAGTGCCTTACTAAGTCCTGAGTCCAGTGCATTACTAAGTCCTGAGTCCAGTGCCTTACTAAGTCCTGAGTCCAGTGCCTTACTAAGTCCTGAGTCCAGTGCCTTACTAAGTCCTGAGTCCAGTGCCTTACTAAGTCCTGAGTCCAGTGCCTTACTAAGTCCTGAGTCCAGTGCCTTACTAAGTCCTGAGTCCAGTGCCTTACTAAGTCCTGAGTCCAGTGCCTTACTAAGTCCTGAGTCCAGTGCCTTACTAAGTCCTGAGTCCAGTGCCTTACTAAGTCCTGAGTCCAGTGCCTTACTAAGTCCTGAGTCCAGTGCCTTACTAAGTCCTGAGTCCAGTGCGTTACTAAGTCCTGAGTCCAGTGTGTTACTAAGTCCTGAGTCCTGTGCATTACTAAGTCATGAATCCAGTGCCTTACTAAGTCCTGAGTCCAGTGCATTACTAAGTCCTGAATCCAGTACCTTACTAAGTCCTGAGTCCTGCACATTACTAATGAATCCAGTGCCTTACTAAGTCCTGAGTCCAGTGCATTACTAAGTCCTGAGTCCAGTGGATTACTAAGTCCTGAATCCAGTCCGTTACTAAGTCCCGAGTCCAGAGCTCTGTTGGGGGTCACCACAACTTGCCAAATTTTCCCAGGGGGTCCCGGCCCTAGAAAGGTTGAGAACCACTGAACTACATGGAACATGTGGTTAAAGTCCGCTGTCAATTTGTATAACTCACCCTTCTATTAAAGGTTTAAATTCTGCTATGAACCAATATTCTTGTTTTGTTCTTTTATCTGCTGTTACTGTTGTCACTGTATCTGCATAACTGAGCTGTTCTGTTCTTATGAAACTTTAATAAAGACATATTGAAAGAGAACGTCTGCTGTCTATTCCAACTTTGATTCAACAAGCTAGGTGATGGAACTGCAGTCATATTTTCCCCAAAATGTTCCGGTGTAATAGTAAAGGATGTTACACAGTGTAATCATTCAACAAGTGCGAATGGGCTTTTAAAAATGATTGCAGCTTACTACAACAAGCAGTAGGACCAGTGTTAACAGGCCTTTGCTCACAACTGCTTCTCTCCCAATAAAAGTCTACAGTCATGCACAGGGCGTATCTGCCGCGAGGCAAACAAGGCGTTTGCCTGGTGCGGCAGATTCCCTGAGGGCGGCGCACACC